CTCCCATTCGCATCTAGCTCCAAAGTTCGGACAATTCGTCTTCTTGGCACCCCAGCCCTTCGTTGATTGCTTCCCGCTGCAGGATGGAAGCAAAATTGCCCCGTCGTCACCAATCTCCTGCTTCCATGCATTCGGCATCGGCATTGCGGCAGCGCCAGCAAGATTTGGTCATTGCGGGAACCCTGGCTGCTCACACGACCAATTGCAACACTCGCAATACCCTATCTAATCGCGACGATCCAACGGGGGGTTCTGAAGCCTGAAGATAAGGAAGTCCTTCAGTAGGAAACCCTCGACTCTTTGCCCTTACGTACACTCTCTTGTTCTTCTCTGACGACCTCCCACGTCGTTTGCAACTTCGCGGACATGGCCGTGGTGCGCTTGGACGATGCGTGGGCAATCCCGCCTTATCTTCTGCATCTGTCTCTTGGCTCCGACGGGGAGAACCTGGGGTAAGGTAGTGTGTGTGTGCGGATAGCAGCGATGCGCGCGAATGCCACACAACCAGCTCCCTCACCATCGCATCGCCAAGTTTCGAGCCACCTCAACTCGCCTTACTCTCTTTGCCCTATTCTCGTGATGCCACTGTCGAGGCTGGTGCGCATACAGAGTGCAATGTACCGAGTACTTGACTGACGAGACGATCTGCTCAGTTCCGCAACTCTCGCCTGACGACCTCCATTTTCACCGAATTTTTTCTCCTTCGAAATTCGCCATTGGACGAAAGGCAACCCGGGAATCCCGAATTCGCCTCTCTGCGTCTTCTAGCTCTGCCTTCAGACTCCAGCGCGGCCCCCCTTTACCGGACCTATCCCAAACGGCTCCCAGCTGCCGGCTGACTTCCGAGCCACACCAAGTACCCGCTACTCATACTCCAGGGACGCGCTGGTGGGGATATGTCGATTGATTCTTCAATGCCGTGGTTCCTTATCTTTTGCTCCCCCCACCAGTTTCGCGTCAGAAAGGCTAGGACGTGGTGTGTGCTTTGCTGCACCTCTGCGCAAAAATGGTCGTTGCCGTCTTTCGAGGCCCCGAAATCTGGGTACGAAAGATCCCGTAGAATTCGCGCGCGTCGCCATCGCCCTGATAAGGGCTCCTCCACTTTCCGTCGTGTGAATTGGGAATATTACTGCCCCCGGGTCCGCCACCATGTTGCTGCTGTTGCTCATCGTCCAATCTTCCGTCGCGGACCTTTCCCTCCCCCTCACTGGTGATCGGTAGCTTCAAAGCGCCTTGAATTGAGTTTGCCCGTCGTCGACAAGACATCACCGTCCTCCATCATCCCGCCTTACTTCGTTGTGCCGAGCCAAGCCAAGCTATGAACTTCCGGTGACCGCTTACACAAACTCCAAAGAAACCAACGAGAGAGACCGGATACAGATTATGGCGATATTCGAGACCAAAAGCGACGTCGAGTCGAACGGGGAGAAGAAGGATGTGGCCCGCGGTTACGTGGGGGCTGACGGCGTCCACCAAGAGGACTTCGAGGCGGGCACCAGCACGTATGCGAAACTCCAGAGGTTGGCGGGCAAGTTTGGCGTGGAACAGAGAGGTATCGAAAGAGTCCCGGAAGATGAGCGTACCGACGACGCCATCATGAACGTTGGAACGATGGTGAGTTTCGCTGGTGAATGTGTGCGCAAATACCAAGAGATGTGGTGGTTCTGACGAGAGTCTTCACAGTGGTGCTCCGCCAACATGGTCGTCTCGTCCTTTGCCATCGGCGTTCTTGCCATTCCGGTTTTCAGTCTCGGCTTCGCTGACACGGCTCTGACCATCGTCTTCATCAACTTCCTCGGCGTCCTTCCCGTGTGCTTCTTCTCTACCTTTGGTCCCAAGTTCGGTCTTCGACAGATGGTTCTCTCCCGGTATTGGTACGGCTACTATGTCGTGAAGCTTGGTATGTCGACTCTACCTACCTCTCTTCTCAAGGGTGGGCGCCACTAACACATGCCCAAAGTTGCCGTCTTCAATATCCTCGCATGTCTGGGCTGGTCCGCCGTCAACTCCATCGTCGGCGCCCAGCTCTTCAACGCCGTGAACCACGACATGCCAGGATGGGCCGGCATCATCATCATTGCGCTGTCGACCCTCGTCATCTGCACGTTCGGCTACCGCATCGTCCATACCTACGAGCGCTTCTCCTGGATCCCCTGCTTCATCATCTTCCTCATCGTCCTCGGCGTCTTCGCCCACTCGGGCAACTTCAACAACATGCTGCCCCTGAACACAGGGCCCTCCGAAGCCGGCTCCGTCCTATCCTTCGCCGCCAGCGTCTTCGGCTTCGCCACCGGCTGGACCTCATACGCCGCCGACTACACCTGCTACTACCCGCCGTCCACCTCCCGCATGCGCGTCTTCCTCGTCACCTTCTCCGGCCTCTTCCTCACCCTCTGCTTCACCGAGCTACTCGGCGCCGCCGTCATGACCGCCAGCGTCAACGACCCCACCTTCAGCGCCGCCTACGCCGACTCAGGCATTGGCGGCCTGCTCGCCGCCGTCCTCGTCCCTAAGCTCGGCGGCTTCGGCCAGTTCTGCCTCGTCATTCTCGCCCTCTCCATCATCGCCAACAACTGCCCCAACATCTACTCCGTCTCCCTCTCCCTGCAGGTCCTCTCCCGCCACACCGCCCGCGTGCCCCGCTGGATCTGGGTCTTCGCCGGCACCGGCGTCTACATCGCCATCAGCATCCCCGGCTACGACCGCTTCGAGGCCTGGCTCGAGAACTTCATGCTCATCATCGCCTACTGGCTCGCCATCTACGAGGGCATCAGCATCACCGACCACGTCGTCTTCCGCCGCGGCCTCGGCGGCTACGACATCGAGGACTACGACGACCCCTCGCGTCTGCCGCCCGGTATTGCCGCCTTCGTGGCCTTCCTCATGGGTGTCATGGGCGCCGTGCTCGGCATGTCGCAGACGTGGTTCACCGGCCCGATCGGCAAGCTTGCTGGCGGCGCGTTTGGCGGCGACATTGGTTTCGAGCTTGCCTTCTCTTTTGCGGCGGTTTCATACGCCGGGTTGAGAGTCGTCGAGAAGAAATTCTTCAAGAGGTAGTTGTTGTCGTATCAGGCGGCAAGTATTGGGTGTTTTGTATGATATAGATGCGTTGTACATATTGAAGGTCTGAGGCGTCTACGGTGTTGGGCGTCGAAACAGGGAAAGAAAGCTCTGGGTCATTTTGGGTTCCGACTTTCAGTACATAAGCTGGGCACGTCGTTCATTATTTGTCTAGCACTTGCATGGCGGACCGAATCTAGTTCTGAATAATTTAGCTTAGATAAAAGTATACCAGCGAGCCAATTGAAAATTGCAAAAACCAACGTGGGCTTTGACTCCGATTACAATGTTCAACCACAACTAGTTATGTCTCCCTCCTTGATCGCTTAACGCTATGACCGTAACTCTTACAAGTGTTTAGAGTGTCCCTTTCCAACATTCCGTTATTAGTTCAAGTCCGTGTAGTTGTTGAGACGCAGCAGCATCGACGCGTTCAGCACCTAAACCTCGACTACATTTTGCTCGCACCGCGGGGCCCCGTCTGTGAATGTTAAAATAATCAATCCTCTTGAGACTGAGTCTCTGCTACGTTCCGTACATGTAAGTTGAGTGCCGCTTTCATGTTGCTCGGCGAAGAATATGACAAGCACAACTTGACAAATAATATCCACGTCGTTAGCGCTACGTCTCTACGAAGTGAGGTTTTAGCCATTGGAGAACATAATGCTAACGTCACAAAATCATGTCAAGTAGTTGAAATTAATAAACGGTTCTAAATCACATTTTCACACTTCGAATAAAAAAAGGTGCTCTCAAGATACTTATTCTTTCCTCTGATACATAGATATGTCCAATGTCGAGGATTGTCAATTTTATGTGCGTCGGCTCTTGATCTTTACGTACAGGCTGCCAGACAGATTTTACGCTGTCAGTGCGGCAAATCAAGCTGAACAGTTGCCTTATTCGCGTTTGTTTAATCTATTGTAACTAAATCAAAGTGGTTCTCAGTCTTAGTTAATAATAAGACGTTAAATAGTCACCTTGATTGAGTGATGTGTGTTTTAGCATATACTGTGATAACACACTTTTCCCGTTTTCATTTTCTTTATTTAACGGTCTACTTATCACTCTATTCCAGCCTTTTTCTCATAAGACCTACTATATGTTGTAGCGTTTGTTTTGTCTGTATAGAAGAAGTCTATGATTTGCTTAATGTGATAGAAAGCGCTCATAACATTCCTGGCTAAACTCCCGAACGTTTATCATTGTACTAAATATTGTATGAGATATAACTGAAGCGAGGTCCAGAAGAAGAAAGGGAAGACAGCACAACCTCATTGAGACTTCATCTAAACGTCCATTACTTCACCCTGCGTCGGTGCCAAATTGGAACAGAAACATTGTGAAGATAACGGGTAGGTTTCGTCTCAACATCCCGAGAGGGTAGGCCCCACCTGTTCAAACTCTCATTGGAACACCAGAATTTTGCCCATCACAGTATTCGTAATCTTCGACATTGAAAAGATCCAGGCTGGTCCCGAGCTATCCCGCCAAAGCTTGACTGCTACTTAAACTCTATATTGACCTGTGCATATCTCAGCACCAGTCATCGTCTCAGACATTCCCGAAGAATCGAATGCAACTACTTATATTTGGCGACTAATGCAAAGGGCTTTGTGATGCTGTGTCACAGAATCCAGTATCCACGGACTAACTATGTATGCTTTATACTCCCTGGATTTTCCTGAAGCGCCAAGCAGAATGTTCCCCACCAACTAACTGATTTCACTCAGAACTCCCAGTCCTTTGGGAAGGCTCCGTGAGTTTAACCAGCTGGATGCCAACTTTGATGCAAAAATATGAAAATCGAATTACCCTCCGCCATCCATTGGTGTCGTGAAGTTCTTGCAGTTCCCCAGAAAAGAACTGCGCCTCATGTCTCTTGACTCCTATGATGCTTTTCGTAATAGCCGTGGTGAACCGGCCACGTATGCGTCACCTCAAGACTCATCGTCATCCGACACGCGAAAGCGAGCTGGTTTCTTCCTAGCCCTAGCGGCACGCCGCAAAGAGGGATCGACAATGTCATCCTCGTCATCATCGTCCTCCGAGTCGAATTCAACGCCGTTGTTCTGATAACTGGATTCGCTATCGTTCACTTCAAAGAAGGGAGCGAGTCGCCCCTTGCGCTGCGAACCCGGTGCGCGAACCACAACGTCATCATCCGTATCGATCAAAGCTAAGCGAGCTTGCGATGTTGAGGCACGTCTAGACCGCGACGGTCCCCTGGCTGTGATCGTGTTCGCGTCGTTCCGTTTTCGACCCCTTGAGCGAGACGGGGTTGCGTTGACATCAAGCTCCTCGTCAATATCCATGTGATGGATCTCAGGGCTGAGGCCGCGCGTGGTAAGCTTACGTCCACGGGCGGATCTCGGAGGGTCAAGGCCGACCGAAATCGTATCACCCTCGACCTCCTGGCTCCTGGAGGACGCAGTGAAACTTGCGTGGATTTCGTTCTTAACGTCACCCATGTAAGCCTTATCGTTCTCGGCCGGGCTCAATGGTCGAGGGTTCTTGGGTGGCCGCCCGCGACGTTTCTTCTGGACGGGCGAGCCCGCCTCTGACTTCCCGGCAGCTGTCTGTGTCTTCGCAACTGATCTGGCCCTACTCGCAGTTCTGGACGCACCAGGACGTCCGCGTCCTCGTCCAAGTTTGATGCGTGGAGATGTCTGCGTGGAATCATCCGCTTCTGAATCCGTGTGTAGATTCTTGGATTTCATACGACGATGCTTTCGGTGAGCAGGAATGCTGCGCTTGCTAGCGTCTTGCGCATCCTCAGACTCAAGGGACGGGTGGTATTCCTCCTCCTCATCGTCACTCCTGGCAGCCCGTTTTCGTTTCCGCCCTGGGCCCGACACGACTTCAAAATCAGCCAATGCCTCGTAATCGTCGGCTGTCAGCTTGGGCGCCTCTTTGCGGGCTCCGGTGCGAACACCCTTGGCAATTTTGGCTTTGGCAAACTTCTGTGTAGTCTGCTTGACTGCAGCCTTTTCTGTTCGACGTCTTCCGCCCCGGCCTCTCTTGACCGGTGCTGCCTTCTCCTCCACGCCCACTTCGCCATCTTCGTTGTCTGCCTTCTCCTTAATCATCTTCTTAGTCAGGTTGGGGAAGTTCTCGCCATAATTAAAGAACAGCTCCTCGCCCGCCTTGATACTGCGCGTGGCCGAGAAGCGGATGCGGTACTCTCCGTTGACGTAGAGAATACCAGGCTGGACGTTGGCTGCCTCCACAGCATGATTAATATAGCGGCTGAGGTTGCCATAAATAGCGGCATCGACCCAAATACCCTCATAATCCAAGAGACTGAACACGTAAGAAGTACTCTTCTCAACAGCAAAAGCCTCTCCGCGTCTTGCTTCTCTCCTGACACCCTCGTCGGCAACGATCAGCTCTCCAGTGTACTCAATGACGAACTCGTCTTGAGCAATGTCTTCCGCTGTGAAGAGACCGTAGCCACAGCCCTCCAATTGACTCTTTCCCAAGACAACAGCCTTGCTGACACCTCGTTGAATGGCAATGTTCTGGCAGCCCGTTTGAAACAGGGCATCATCATGCCGATTTGCAGGGTCAGCGCGTTCCACAGCGCCACAAGTCCCGCAGAGGTCGGGGTCACACTCGCGGTTGAGTTGCACGCAAATGCAGGGGCGGCCTTCCTTCTGTTTCTGCAAGCAAGTCTTGCCGCTGGCATGGCAAGCACAGCCGGTGAACTTATACGCGCAGCAGTCCTCGGTACAGCGGCAGAATTTCTCGCAGAGGATGTCGTTCATTATACAGGTGCAATTTTCTGCAGTGCAGGGCCCGTCGTGGTGGCATGGGTCGTTCGAAGGGCGAACCTTGGTGTCGTGGGAATTTGTGTGATCTTGCCAGTCGCCGATGAGCATCTTCTTCTTACGATCATACCAGGGAAGATTTTTGACCCTTGCCGGTTCAAAGGTCTCCAAGGGAGGAAGAGTAATGCCCAGAGATTGTAAATGGTGGTTGACGTCCCAGCAGGACCTGTTCAGAATCTCAGCAGTGGCGCACTGAGCCTTGACCCTGACCTTGTTGTGATCCAAGATTGTGAACAGGCTTCGCAGCAAGTTCGTCTCGTCTTCCGTCCAAGGTCGCGACGATGCATCAGGAGTATTGGCGTTGATCTGGAAGCATCCCCGCTGACATGGGGGCGGAGGATCCGAATGTTCGGGGTCTTCTTTAGAAGAGATAACGCGGTTCGCCGAGAACATCCGTCCGTACATCCCGATGCAATCCATGGAGAAGTTGCGCTTGTGATTCTCAATGCTGTAGTCTCCATGTTCGCAAGAGTTGCTGTAACAGATGAGACAACCCATGACTGTATGGGTTTCGATCCAGTGCTCAAGAGATGAAGCTTTCTCATTGTCGCCTTTAGCCGCCTTCTTGGACTCAACAATCTCGTCAACAGACTTATCGAGCTTCAGCACGTCGCGCAACAGAACTCCCCGGTCTTTTGGCACCTCTTGATAGAAAACGTAATCGAAAGCCTCAGTGAAAACTCTTGCTGCCTTCAAAGCTCTCGGTGTGGCGGCTAAATTGTCATCGCTATGCAAATTGACCAGACTCGTTTTTTGTTGCGGCGTGATGGCGTCATCAGACTCTGAACTGGCCATATGACGGATGAGTGTCGTCCGATTACAATTGTCGATGTTGAGCTTCTTGAGCCAAGAATCCAGGAACAGTGACAGGGTGGCGGTGCGCTCTTTGCGAAAAGTCCTGTTGACTCGGTCTTCGCGATTGCCTAACGTCTTGAACCCGCAGCTTGCATCCATCCGCTCAAGCTCGTTGAGCCATAGAAGGTAGTCTCGCTCCTCTTCCGGTTCCAGATCGCGGATGACAGGGACAAATTTGAGCATGGAGTTGGGAGAAAGGACGTTTTTGACGATTTCCGTGTGATGAAATCGGTACTTAGGCACGGCGTCCTTGGTTGACTTGACGCAAACTGGCAGGTAATGAGCATCTCGGCCCTGATCCGCTTTTCTCCCGCGAAAGTGTTGCTGAGGCGAAGTCAGCATTCATATCCATACTTTGGGTGTTGAGATGCGGCAGAATGATGAGGACAGAGGTCGCGCCATCGATGTGTACTTACCTTGACCCGAATCTTCATGGTCGTCCCCTTCTCCTCAGTCGTAGGTGAGATACCGACGTCAGCGAACCAATCGTGGCCGGTAGAAACACGTGTTTCCCTGGGCTTGGTAGATTTGAGTGCGTAGAGAACCATTTCTACATGATTTTTGCGGATATCATGAGAGTACTTGGTGAGTGAAGAGGTGATGTGATTGAAGTCGGAGATGCCCTTGTTCGGGGTCTGTTTCTTGGAGTTGGTGACATGCTTGGCAACCTTGGGAGACTGGTTGCTCGAAGGGCGGGTAGAAGATGGCGGAGTGACTTGCTGAGCAGTCTCTAGAGGAGCGTCTGGTCGCGCGAGTCGTGGCATCTCGGCATCGTAACTGTCGTCGAGATCGACTGACGTTTGGATTGAGACAGGTGGCGGCGAAGGATCCAAGACCGAGGCTGCATTGCTGGAAACAGCGGTTGAGGCGCCGCTTGGGTCGGAGAGGACACTACTGTTATGGGCAGGACCTAGACCTAGTGGGATACGCGACGCTGAACTTGGAGGTTGGCTGGCCTCAGGCTTGGATTTCCAGCTGGAGGGGGTCGCGCGATCGGCATCAAGATGAGGAAAGTGCTTAGGGCGAGGGGAGATGGGAGGACTGTCGCTGTCGCCTGTCAGGTCGATGAAGTTGTTAGAAGCGTTTCCCGAGCTTTGACGGAGCGGGGGCTTCTGGTAGGCGCGTTGATCGTGTTGAGAATGAGAGTGGTGGTGGTGGTGGTGGTGAGGGTGATGGTTTGAAGGATCGTGTTCTTGGTTCAGGTGGAACTTGGCGCACTCGTCGACGTAGGGACCTCTTTGAGCAGCTGCGTCCCGATCGGACCCAGCAAAGAAGGACATGACGGTAAATGACGAGGCGAAAAGCGACAGGAAGAAGGCGCAAAGGCGGTGGCTTTCTGTCGGGAGCTCGTCTGGCGGCGGTTCTGGCCTCGAGCCTCCTCACTTGCTGCAGGCGCAAACACAGACACGGTCGCTGCTCATGTCCTCTTCCCCGAGATCAGCGTCAGCAAAGCCTGTAAACATTGACTACGGAAGTCTCATGCCAGGCGGCCAGGAAGAAGCGCCCGGTGACGTTGCGCGGTCGGAAAAAATGCGACGCAACAGTCGAGATGGCGAATGGGTCACTTTCCCGCTCAAGCACGCTCTCTTGGATGAGGTTGATGATGAGAGAAGAGATGAGATATGTGAGACGCGTTGGTGAATTGCGAGGCTAAGCGCGTTCATGGGCGGAAGGACATCGAGGGAGAGATTGCAATGCGCTAGTCCCAAACGAGACCGGGGGAGCAGGGGCTGCGCTTCAGGAACTGCACTCAGGACTCAGGCAACCAACGCACCTATCCACAATAACCCACCAAGCAAGCACCTCACGGCCCAGTGTATCAGTTGCCCGTTGGTTCCGATGCATTTCAGGCAGTCTGGGTAAACACACAAGAGATGCACAAAGAGAAGATGCCTTCTTTGATTATTTTCTGCAGAATTTTTTTCCGTCTCTTTCGTCTCAGCGGGTGGTGGTGGCGGGCTTGCAATTGATTCATGTTACACTTTGGGCTTTGTCATAATGGAGCGCACTCTGAGAACAATGTCTTTCTATCCATTCGATTTATTCGGGTGCTGTCTCCTTACGGAATACTCTCCCGGCCGGCGTCTCCTTGTTTTATATTCAGGCGTCTTTGAGGATACCACGCTGCCATATGTCTCCCACCACACCTCTTCCGAAGAGAGAATGGCAAACAATAAGCCAGGGCAAGGAGACTCGACATTTGGCTTGCGCTCGGACTTTGTATCCCAAAATGAGGCAAGTCTCGCTTTGGACGCTACAAACGCAATCCAGCGCGCATGTCAAATTTTCGCAAGGGACTTTCAGCCAAGGCGGCCATATTCCATTGCCTTGCGTTGGACGTTGCCAGATGTTCGAGATCCTCGGGGGAAAAAATAGTATACCAGTTATCTAAGCTCAACTCAGCGCAGTAGCGGTCGACGTGACTCGGCCAGGGCCAGGGTTAGGGTTGCATTGCCCTTTGGAGTTGAACGGCCCAGGTGCTAGAGAAAGTCTCTTGATTCAATACGTCCAGCTATGCATCACACCCCGACATTGCCAAAAAAAAGTTCCTCGTAAGCCTCGAATGAGATGTCTACCGTCGACGTTCTAAACGAGAATGTAGCAAGTCAACAGAGGTTTTGTGTCAAGGACATGGCCATAGTCGACATTATATGCAGCAAGTAACATGAGGGAGTGTCTGGAGATGCCCGCAAAGCAACGAGCAGAAAGTCAATTGGCAGAGCCTACCGTGATTAATCCGACAGCCGGCTGCACCGACACTCTGGCGGCCGCTGTTTGGACTAATCAAGTGTTCCGCCAGGACGCAGGGCACAGATTGCGCTAGTTGGCGAGTTGACAGATAGAGGCAGTCTATGAAATCATCGCTCATCTTCCGGGACTAGTAGACGACCCTTAGCTTCAAAGAATCTGGACATGCCGATATGCGCTCGACAGTACGAATATGTATCTAGCGCTAGAGAAGAAAAATACGGTCCTGTTCCTTGGCATCAAAGACAGGCAGGCTCGATTCGAATGCTGACCTGAATTGAGAGGCCGGTGCCTAGGAATGCAGATGTATGTCATCCGCTGGCAAATCAAAGATCCTTCGCCCACCAGTTTGCGAAGGAAAATGATGAAGGAGTGCCAACCCTGAATTTTTGACGGACAACGTAGGAGGCTATATCATAAACCAGATCGCCCACTCTCTCCATCATCCCAGAGCCCAGTTCCGTCTGGACCTGCAGCTGCGGAAGGGAACGGACAGGCGTGGGGTGATGGGGTTTTCTTGCAGCTTGCATCGAAGCTTGCTGGTTCCTCTTGTTTCTTCGTCCCAAGTCGGCCCCATGAGTCCCGGCCGTCTGTTTCATGAGCCCACATTGGGCGAAGGGTCTCGAAGAGCCGGCGCCATCCCGGATGGCGATCGTCCTGGCCGTGTTAGGCCTGCCTCCTCATTGCATAACCGTAGCCTCCTTTTGATCATGGTAGGTCGAGGTCGAAGAGATGAGGAGTGACACTGGCCAGAGCTCCCGGGGTTGTAGCTTTCAAGGGTGACTTTGCGACGGATTCAGCTCAAGATGGCGCCACAGGGTACCTAGAATGTGGGGCTTCCGGCTTGTACCCGCGTAAGTTATTGATGCAGGCACCTGGGTGGGTGGTTAGCTGGGTGACGCTGCGAACAACGCCAAAAACACGAGCTAAAGAAACAGATGACGTCGCCAGGGCGAATGAGGCACAGAGGGGGGCCTGGGGGACTGCGCTGAGAGGTGCTGGGTGCTGCCGCTTCACCTGCCTGACCTTTCTACTACCCATGTCCAGCCCAACAGGCCGCCCACTTCGAGTCCCGTCTCCTCCGCAACATCCACGCATGTCTTCTGGACCCTTTCCGGCGCATACATATAAACACTCGAGTCCGCATCATCCCAGTCCCGACGCCTCGACCGTCATTCGATCTTCTACAAGTCCCTTATTCCACCCCGCGATACCCTCTTTGCGAACCGCCCTTCACCCTTGACTGGCATATAAACACGCACTCTGTCGCCTGATTGATTATTGCGACAGCACACACGTTGATAACCTGACTGACATCGTCGTCGTCGCTGACACCACTGCCATCATGCATCGCACCTATTCTATGCGCCAAACGAGGGCGCCCACGGCCTCTCAACTCCAGGTACGAACACCGCGAGCCTGTCTCTACACCAATCGTCGCCTAGAACAAACGATAGATGCTGACTCTTGTCGCAGAATCCGCCCCCGCCGCCGTCAACCACTAAGTCTGGCCGCCTCTTCCGCGGTGGCTTCGGTATGTAGCACCCTCCATGGCTTGCGCCGTCCTGGCTATCGTTCGAAATGCGGCCACTGTCATCTTTACGGCGACTGACAGTTCACATCAGGTCATGCCCTTCGTCACAAGTCTGCCGGTGCCTTCGGGCCAGACCTTGCTAAAAAGCTGTCTCAGCTGGTGAAGATGGAGAAGAATGTTATGCGCAGCCTCGAGACAGTCGCGAGAGAGCGTATGGAGGTCGCAGTAGGTCAACCCGCACTGAGGGCATTCCGAAATGTGCATACTAAATTTCACTTCTCAGCAACAACTTTCGATCTGGGGAGAGGCATGTGACGAAGATGTTTCCGATGTCACCGACAAGCTCGGCGTCCTGCTCTACGAAATTGGAGAGCTTGAGGATCAATACGTCGACCGATATGACCAATACCGCGTTACTATCAAGAGTATTCGCAACATTGAGGCTTCAGTCCAGCCAAGCCGAGACCGTAAGAAACAATCGAAGCCTCCCATGCCATGCCGATTCTGACAGCGTTCACAGGCAAACAGAAGATTACCGATCAGATCGCTCAGCTCAAGTACAAGGAGCCCAACTCGCCAAAGATTGTCGTTCTCGAACAGGAACTTGTGAGAGCTGAGGCGGAGTCACTGGTCGCTGAGGCTCAACTGTCAAACATCACGCGCGAGAAGATCAAAGCCGCCTACACCTATCAATTTGATGCTCTGAGAGAGCACTGCGAGAAGGTGGCGATTATCGCCGGCTACGGAAAGCACCTCTTGGAGCTCATCGATGATACCCCCGTCACCCCTGGCGAGACCCGTGCTGCATATGATGGTTACGAGGCCAGCAAGGCCATCATCCAGGACTGCGAGGATGCCCTCACCAACTGGGTGACCTCCAACGCCGCTGTGTCCTCAAAGCTGTCAACTCGTGCTCGCACTCTGTCAACTCGGCGTAGAAACAACATCAAGGCTCGCGCTGAGGGAGGCCATGATTTGTCTGGACAAGATGCCCCTTTGAATGACGACTCGTCTTGGATGCCCGCCCATAACAAGGAGACGGACTACGATGATGAGGAAGACGATGAGGATGATATCCACCATTCCGTTGCTGGAACTGATGACGGGTTGAACGGTGAAACCCGAGGACGCCAGCACGAGAGCGTTGTCGCATAGATGCAGCATCTTATCATGCCGATTTCGCCCGGATTTTCTCAATCATATTCGTTTTGAAGGCAGCGAGCATGTAGCTCATGGTCGCGGTAATGTTCCTTCCACGTTCATGGACAGCGCTTGGTTCTGGTGTTAGGGGTTTGGTGCCTCGGTAAAGAATTGAGGTTATGATAGGTTTGCTACGGCGAACGTGGAAGGAAAGGCAAAAACATTGGTTCTCCTAGTTGTAATGTCCAATAATTGCGTAGTTTATCATTATCGGCATTATTATCTTTAGTCTTTACTTCCTATCCCTTGACCTGCCATGTTCTAATGTGCGGGGCCCTAGACAATTGCTGCCTCGGCATATGGGTTGTGTCCTCGTAGCTGGCTAGAAAACTCCTCCACCTCGATCTTCGCAATGTATTGGCCAGGTACTACAACCAAACCCAGGTAACGGGAAGTCATATCCATCGAAACCGACCCGGTGCCTGCAGCGGCATTCTTCGCTGCCTCCGCCCGTTGCTGCGCTGACGGTTGGCGATACTCGTATGTATGGGCTAACACGACATTTCGGTCCTAGACATGACCAAGAGGGTCAGAAAATTTTCGAAGGCATGGGGAGAGGGCGTCGCTCACAGGGTCGGTGCATTTGAAAATCCCCAGAAACATGCGACCATCAGTGGCCAAGATGCGCAAGTTCTTGTTGAGAAGCGAGGTCAAGAAGTCTCTTGCCTCCTCTTTGTCCATTGCAGCGAAGCAGTAACGACTGTATTCATCGCCTTTCCCAGCCTCCGTGCTGAGTCTCTAGGTAAGATGGTGAGAAGAAGAGAGATTGGTTCGCAGGTTGTCATTCATGCCGACCCA